CACTTCCCAGTTTCCCTTGAGTGCAGATAAAGCCAATCAGGGGTAAGTGGATAGGCTATGTGTCTTCTGGGAAAGCTCCTTAGAGGTGACTGACTTAACTGTGTGGTGTCACTTCACTCCCACCCCCACCTTCCTCTGTTTGGAGCATTAACCTCGAACAATAAAGTGAAAGAATGAAAGCCACAGGCAAAGGATGGTGGAGCAGAAAGACAAAAGAATACTGCTCTCTCCTGACCATGTGCTACTGCTACACCCTGGATCATCACAATTCTTTTATATTGGAGAGAAATACGTGTCCATCTTATTTAACCCAAACAAAATTCCTAATGGACAGACCCACTGTCAGCCATTGGAGTAGCTCCCTTCTGGGCTCACCCCCAACACTGGCAGGGCCCAGGCCAAGAGTCAAGATGTAGACGCCTAGTCTGTGGCTCCCCTTCTCTTCCTGTCCCTGGTTCTGTCCACTTTGTGTGGACATCCGAGCTCACGCTTCTAAGCTCATCCCCAGGCTAACACTGCTCCTGGGCCACTCTTCAGGCCTAGGGTACCCATGCTTTCCACCAGGAGGAAAAGCCTAGGAGAGGTTGGGGTAGGCTCTGGTACTGAGTGCAAAGCCATTTGACCAAGGAATCCCAGGATCCTGGGAACCCAAGGCATTGTCTAGAAGTGGAAGGAGGCTCCAGACCTGTGATCTCCTCACCCTGCGAGGGGAAGTGTGGCCCTTGAAGGCACAGGACCTAGGGCAGGGGTCCCACTTGCCAGGCACTCTCTCTCTCTCTCTCTCTCTCTCTCTCTCATCTCCTAATCCCTGTCTTTTTATCATTCACAACTTGACAGTAGAGCAAAATTTGAAGTAGTCCAGTTAATTACTTGTTATAAGAACCTTGGTAAAAATGACCTTTTGGAGGAAAAGTCTGGAACTATAGCTTGAACTGTGTTGTTTTCCTCTCATCCTTAATGCCACTACTACCTTCTCTCTCTCTCTCTTTTTAGATATATTTTATTGATTTTTTACAGCGAGGAAGAGAGAGGGGTAGAGAGTTAGAAATATTGATGAGAGAGAAACATCGATCAGCTGCCTCCTGCACACCCCCTATTGGGGATGTGCCCGCAACCAAGGCACATACCCTTGACCGGAATCAAACCTGGGACCCTTGAGTCCGCAGGCTGACACTCTATCTACTGAGCCAAACCGGTTAGGGCTACCGTCTCTCTTTATGAGACTGTATAATGAAAAGTTGATCAAGCCTGGTTCCTGGCAAGCTTTTCTTTGGTGAGTTGGATGGCTAAGCACAAGTTTATCAATCAACTGCAATATTGGTGCTAGTGTACTGAATGAAGGAGGGCTCTCTAAACCCTTGGTCTCTGTCATTTGCACATTTACCTAATTGAGGAAACTATCCAAGTGGCACTTATCTGGATCTGTTTGCACAAACACTGCATCTGGGAAGGGAGTGGAATCAGTTACAAACCCTGGCTACCAGTATTGGAACAGACTGTTGCTCTCAGAGAACCATATGGGAGCAGGTGGGAACTCTATAAGGTGAGCCACTGAAATGACCCAGGACGGGCCCCAAACAAGCTGGGCACCTTTCTCTGTTACTTAGGAAGCCCCTAACTCAGCCTAGGGTAGCAAGGACTGAGACCTGACGTGGCAGTGCCACTGACAGTGGGATCCAACCTCCAGTTCACACACTAAGCACAAGGTCTCATTCCTTGAGGAATCTGTCTCCTCTACGTGGCCTGACCGGCAGGACCAGTGAAGCTGGCCTCACAAACATGAAAATACCCAAACCGGTGCACTCTCTCTGTGCATCTTGGAAGCTATTTTCCTTTAGTTCAGTAATTCTCAGCCTTATTTTGCATTTCGGATCTCTATGTTCTCTAGGCTGGATAATTACCAAAGGACATGAGTTCTCACCCACACTTCAGAGAACTCGTGTGGCCCCTTTCAAACAGCAAGATAGAATTAAAAGACCACGGAGCGAATAATCTTGCTACAGATTGAATGTTTGTATCCCCTCAAAATTCACATACTGAAACCTAACCCCCAATGCAATGGTATTAAGAAGTGGGGCTGTTAAGAGGTGATTAGAACAAGAAGGTGGAACCATCATAAATGGGATTTGTGCCCTTAAAGAAGAGACCCCAGGGGAACCATGGAAAACACACACACACACACACACACACACACACACACACACACACAGAGGCCCCAGAGAGCTCCTCTGCCCCTTCTGTCAGGTGAGGACACAATGAGAAGACAATTGCCTATGAGCCAGGAAGAAAGCTCTCACCAGACACAGAATCTAATGATACCTTGATCTTGGACTCACCGGCCTCCAGAACTACATGTGAGAATTAAATGTTCAGTCTTCTAAGCCACCTAGTTTATGTTATTTTTGTTATAGCAGCTCAGAGAGATGAAAATTATATCCCCAGCTTTCTATCTATATTTTGTTGATTAGTTTCCCTACAGGAAAAGTGATTTGTAAGGTCCCGCATAGCTCTAAGGTTCAATGGTGCTATACAGTGCTATGAAATGACAGACATATTAAATGTCCTTTCCCCCATCCTCATCTAACTTCTTATCTTTCAGTTCTTGGCTTAGAAGCTAGTCCATTCCACAGGCCTTCCTTCACTCTCCCCAGCCTGCAGAATGGGCTAGGAGACTCTTCTCTGTGTTCCCATGGTTCTCTGGACTACCTTATTTAAAGTTGTATCCTCAGCACCAATTCCTAGCAGGAGCTCAAGGACATATATGAAATGATGAAATGAGGGGATGGTTTCTGATAGCTACCACCCCCTTTGGTCACTGGACTGGTGATGAAAGATGTTCTGAGATAACTATTCATGGAACATGCTGAAATAGTCTTTGTTCTGCTGCCTGCATTTGGACATATGTACCCTGAGTACACACCTAATGAGTAAGATTACAGTACCACATTTTTTTCAGGGAAAAAATGAAAACAAATCTTCCATTTTTATGCTCAGAGAAACACAGACTATTATACTTAGCTCAGTTCTCATTAATAAAAGAGATCTATTTTATTAATAGAAGATCCTTTACCTTCTCTTCTGAGTTCTTCAAATTAATCTAAGGTCTGATTTCCCAAAGCATTACTAATTGTATAGCAACATCGTTTATATCACAAAATTAAAAAGGATATACATATCCAGTCAAAGAGTGGTGGTTAGTAAACTATGATACTCAATAAACTGGTGAACACATGCAGCTTCTGAGAATGTGCCCACAATATAACCTGAAGTTAAAGGGGAGACATACATTACCTATGCCGTGTGACTGCCATCATGTGAAACATACTAAATATATGTGCATACAATATAGAAAGATATCCTACAGAATATTAAGAATGACTATGTTTATGTGTTAGAACTATGGATGATTTTCTTTCTATGTTTCTGAATTTTTCAGATTTTCTCATGGTGAAAAATCATTTCATTGTTAATTGAAAACATCTTGTTCTTTTCTGCTAGGAAAGTTTTGGCTATTGATACTGGGTCTGTCCGCCTGAATGAGCTGAATAGAGGAGCAGAGAGAAGACCCTGTGGCACAACCAAAAGAGGGGATGGAAGCATATGGAATCCTCTGGAGCAGCAACTAACCGCCTGTGTAATAGTCACTGATCTAAGCTCTTCCTACATGCCAGGCATCTCCCATGCATTTTATTTTCTCACTTGTCCTCATAAACATCGTAGGAGATGGGTACTGGTGTTACTGCCATTTTCTAGCTAAAACTGAGCCTTAGATTGGTCAGTTCTTTTGCTAGTATGAGGAGGAGCTGCAGAGCTGACCCTGGCAGTCTGTCTCCATGGTCTGACATTTTCTCACTGTGCTCTACTGCCCCCTCCAACGCGACAGCAGCGGCTGAGGGGGAACTGAGCATAATTCCAAGCCACACTTCATTTCATGCAATGATCTCTCGTGTCGACAAAGGCACAGCAGCTATTTCCACCTTGAGGAGATTCTATTCAGACAAGTCTTCAAATAACTCTTGCTTGTCAGTGGAACGGTCTCTAGTAGCCACTTGTTCACTGTATTATCTCAGGGTGCTAACCAGAGGGTGAGCCATAAACTGTCCTTCTTTGGGACAATATGCTCAGCTTTGAATATAAGACATAAATCCAATGTTTTGGGGCAACAAGCCCGTTTATAAATGCTCTCATGGCCAACTTTGCAGCCCCAGATCAACATGGATACAGTCCATGCCAGCTTCCCACTTTAAAAGTGGATAATGGTTGCTTTCTCCTTGCCAGCACAATTATAGGCAACCTTTCTCCATGCTCTTGTTGAAAGTAAATTCACCCTGCAGATGACTGATTATGCCCCGCCGACACCATTAGCGCACACAGCACTTGGAGGCTCTCTATTACACAGTCACATTTTCTATGCACAGAAACCCAGTGGTGTAACATTTCTAGAAGTGAGGGGAGGGGAGATTTCATTACGAGAGCATTCTAGGAGAACAGAGAAGGATACCTGGGAAGAGTCCAATCCTGTTGGAGTCAGGCGTGTATCACTAAAGCACAGTGTCTTCCGCGCCCTCCCTGCCACCTCAGGGAAACATGAATGGGGGAGTGGGGAACTGCAGAAAAGGTCCATGAAGTGAGCCAAGCAGATTGGTCTGAAGGAAGTGACACTGGGCTTAAGGCATAAGAAACAGAATTTCTGGAGGATGAGGCCCAGAAATCAGGATTTTAAAAAGATTCCCAGGTGATTCTAATGTGCAGCCAAGGTTGAGAACCACTGCCTTAAGGGAAATCCATTTCAAACTTTAAATTAAAAACAAATGTGTGAGCAGGGAAACCTTAACGAGCAAAAGGAAACAACTAAACAGAGAAATCCTAACAAGAAGACTGAATGGAATCATCAGAGAAAGTGCCATGAGGGCAACTACTGGAGGATATAATTGCGTCCATTGTGCCCTGTCTCTTGGTCCTGTCCCCCAGGGACAGCCCTGTGGTGTCCATTCACTTACTTTCTCTGGAACCGGACCACAGGATCAGCCAGCAGGTCAGTGACATCAAGGTTTCTCCCCTTCTCGATGACATCTCGATGCTTCCGAACAAACAGCCACCCGATGTGGGAAAAGAAGAAGCCCCGGCGGGCGTTGTGGGGGTCAGCGTCAGTCTCCGAGTACTTGTGGTGGACTCGATGGTCCCTGGACCACTCGAAGATGTCGTTCTGCAGAGAGAATGCAGACCCTAAGTAAAGGGACAATGCACCCTGGCACTTTCTCGAAAGCATCTCAACCTCCCCCTGTCCCACTCCTCACCATCCTCACCACTGACTTCCACTTTGTTCCTATCCTCAGCTTCAAGTTCAATCCCTGGGGTTTTTCTGGGGTGGTTTCCATAAAAACAAGAGTAAATCCTCACTTAAGAGGGATCTTAGCTTGTGTTTGGGGTGTGCCCACTGCAGGAGGTTCAGACTTATTGGGTGAACTAGTGGGGAAACCTGAAAGAAAGTTCTGGAGCAGGCTGTTGAAGTCTCCTGAGAGATCATTCATGAAGAAAAGAGAGATCCAGTCTCAGGATGAAGTCTTGGTCGTTGGAGGTTGAGTATGAAAAGGGGTTGGTTCTTGGCCCGGATCTCTCTGCCCTCGCACCCAGTCTTTAATGGTCTTGATGTCCAACTTAATAGAGAGCAGGAAGCCAGCAAGTAAAAACTCAAAGAGCTGCTTCACCAAATCACTGAAAAGTACCAAGGCACAAATAACATTGTTAACGGACTGCTCTAACAGTGTGTCACAGAAAGGCAGGGGAGGTGACTTTGCCTCCTTGAGGAATCTGGTGTATCTGGCCATACCCACCAAGTGAAGAAGCAGCAGTGCCCAAGGGGCAGGCTGGATACCAAGGGAGACTCTGCTGCCCACGGAAGGAGAAACATCAGAGTCCAGCAGATTCTGCCAAAGTCCCAGGGGGAGGCTTGGGCACACATGGGGACACACCCTGTTGTGTTGGGAGAATGGGATAGTGCCAGGGGGCTGGAGGTCCTGTGTGAGCTATCAGGGGCAAAACCAAAGGCATTTAGGGTAGTATTACTAACGACACCTTATCTAGCCATGGGCCAGTGAAGTCTATAGACCTCTAATGTGTGCTCAGTTTTGTTTTTATCTGATAATGTTTTTAAAACTTTGAGAAGGCAAATTAGGTTGAAAGTAATGCATTTAATAGGAAAATTAACCTGAAAATAAAAAACTTTATATAGTACGTATATAAGCTCTTTTTTGAAAAATATAAAAATAAGGCAATAATGTTTGATACCATACTATTCAGAACTTGGTCATGTCTTCATTAAGAATCTGCTATTTCACAGATATTGGCTTCATTCTGCTGATGAGAAGAAAGGGAACTATCTTATTCTAAAAGTTCTAACAATTATTTTAATTAAAATGGGGTTCATTGAGTTTTTTATTTCTCTGGCTCACCTAGTGCTACTAAAAGGCTACTCAACATTGTGCATCCTATAATACCATTGAAAACTTTTAAAGTTTGCTTAATCCTTGGGTATAGCAAACTTTACCCAAAGAAGAGGTAGAAAGACCTTAAGAAGTATATGCTCAGCTTAAATATAAAGAGAGAAAATGGGTGCTTAACAGTTTGTAGAAAGCAAAAAGTACAGCCTGGATTATTGTGATAGAAAAAGAGGTCTTTAGATTTTACATATATTTAAACTGAGTGTATTGGAAAGAGTGAATGTATTTATTATTTATAATCTCAGAATATGTAGTTGGGAAGAAATTCCAAATGTCAGTCAAGACCACTGCAGCCCAGAATAACTTATTCCTTTTGCATTAGTTTATTGCTTTTATTGCAGTGCCCATCTGGACATAGGAATAAAGAGGAACCTTCTCCCCAGTTCACAGATGGCAAAATTAAGGCTTAAAAGACATTTACTCAAGTTCATCTACTAAACGCAAACAAAGCAGTCCTTCGTTCACGTTCCTTTCAATGAGATGTATCCCTTATTCTCCAAATTCAATGGCAATGAGGGGGTGTATCTTTTACAAAAATCTCCCTTTTTTTTCTTGTTAAAAGGTTATGTCGATTCTTTAATCTATCACAGTGCAGTTTTTTAAAAACTTTAAGTGATGAGTTCCAAAGTGCTAGAAACATTATTCTCACAAAATTAAACATAATATAACGACAAAAGAATGATGATGAGGACAAATTGGAACAGAGATATTTATTTATTTTAATTCCTCCTACCTGGATACCTTCCCGACAGAAGCCACTTCGACTGTAACATTGGAATGAAGCACAGGTTTGGCCACATCCCAAATAATCAAGCACACAATCGAGCCAAAAATACTCTTAGGATGTGTGGGTTTTTAATCCTTTGTTATTGTTTTGTTTTTAACGCTAAAGCTGACTCCAGTGAAAAAGTGACTCAAAGAACAAGATGTCAGCCAACAATAGGGCAGAAAGGGAACAAAATTCATATGCTCACTCAGGGGCCTTTTCTTCCAACTCATTTGCACTGTGCTTCTATCCTGGACTGATTTGGAGTGGGAGCCAAGCTGTGAGGAGCATTTGTGTTTGATGAAAAGCTGTGTATACCTAGAGTGTGTGTGGTACAGTCAACATGTGCAGAAGGGAAAGCTGAGGGCTGATGAGGAGGGAGAGAGGGCTAAGCAAACCTCAGGAGGTGGGAGTGAGAGGAAACAGCCGGCCATCACCATGGCAATATCCTGGCCATCTCTCTTCCTCCCAGTGTTTACATAGTGCTAATTACTCTTGTCTGGAACTATGTACGCTACCCCCATCATCCCTGTTTCACAGAAAAGGAAAAAAGAAATGAGGCACAGAGAGATGGTGAACTTGCATCAATGAGCTGACACTCAAGTATGTGGATTCCGTCTGTTCATGCCCTGTGTGCACATTTTGATAACGGCCATGACATTGAGCTCAGCAGCAACTTCTGAAACCTAAAGACTTACATACTCTAACAAATCAATTTGCAACTTAGAGTTTATACTTAACGGTGGGTTCTGGGAGATCACAGTCTTAATACATAACCCCATTACCTTCAAAAGTAGACATTTCACCACATGTTTATTGATCATTCCTGACGAAGAACTGGAGTGGAGAATGAAGCTACCCTAGATCTAAGAGCCCTGAGTATAACTGAGGCACAGGCAGGGGTGGGGGGAGCGGAAGAGAAAGAAGAAGAGAGCAGATTAGGATTGCACAGCTCAGGTGGTAGGTTTTATTACATGAGGAGTCACACCATGTCCTACTTTGTGCTGTCCAAGAGAAATATAATACAAGCCATATATGTAATTAAATTTTTTCTAGTAGCAACATTAAAAAATGAAAAGAAACACATAAAATTAACTTTAATAACATATTTTACTTAACATAATATATTTTAAATGTCACTCCAATATATGATTAGCTTAAGTTATTAATGAGATATTTTACTTTTTTTCTGTACCAATTCTTCAAAATTGGGTGTGTCTTTTTTATTTTTATTTATTTATTTAGTTTTAGTTTAATTTATTTATTTTTTTAATTGTTTTATTGCTTAAAGTATTACCAAGAGTATTACATATGTCTCCTTTTTTTTCCCCCCGCCCTTGACAATCCCCTGGCCTCCCCCACCCCCCAGTGTCTTATGTCCATTGGTGGGTGTGTCTTTTATACTTCTAGCACACCTCAATTCAGACTAGCCACAGTTCAAAGTTCTCAGTAGCCAGCCACATGTGGCTAGTGGCTACTATATTGGACAGTGCAGTTCTAACTCATGACTTGTATGCTTTTCTATGTGTGTGCTATACTTTTTAATGTTTTTTTAAAAATCCTATATAATAAAAGCCTAATATGCTAAGTGTCCAGTCGACTAGTCAGCCATTCAACCAATCAAAGCATAATATGCTAATGATATGCTAAAGCCACTCAACCACCCGCTATGATGTGCACTGACCACCAGGGGGCAGATGCTCCGACCAGTAGGTTAGCTTGCTGCTAGGGTCCAGCCAATCGGGACTGAATGAGACCGGTCGGACATGCCCTGGAGCCCTCCCACAGTCCCTCCCCAGCTGGCCAACCTCCCGTGTTTCTCCCTGGCCCCAACCATGCACTGGTAGGATCCCTCGGCCTGACCTGCGCCCTCTCTCAATCCGGGACCCCTCGGGGAATGTCAAAGAGCTGATTTCAGCCCGATCCCGCAGGCCAGGCCAAGGGACCCTACTGGTGCACAAATTCATGCACCGGGCCTCTAATAAAATAAATAAAAAATTTAAAAGTTTTAAAAATTCAATGTTGCTTATTGATGAGAGTGTGAAATTGGCACAAACCAGGTAAATGGCAAATGGGCTGCGCATATCAAAAGTGTTAAAATTGTACATATGTAAAATCTAACAATTTGTTTTCTTTATCTTAAGGAAATAATCAGGGTGTGTGCAAAGATTTAAACACAAAGATGCTCACTGCCGTGAAAACATGGAAAAGCCCTGAATTTCCACATAAGAGATTATGATTGAGTACCTTGAGATACATTATTTAACTCAATGCTATTTGTGTGTGTACACAGAAAACTTCTGGAAAGAAATATTAAGAAAAAGATCTTAGGATTACCTCAGGGAGTGAAACTGGAATATAGGAGATGAGGAGAAATACTTTTACATTTTATCTTATACTCTGAAATTTTTAACAAGAGCATCTGTTGGTTTTGTATTAAAAACGAATTTACAAAAAAAGATATTGTACTATTGACACAGAGAGGGAAAGAATTTAAGTGAAAAGTAGTTTTCAAAGTAGTAGGTATGGAATGAACCCATTTTTAATAAAAATGTGTATATGGGTATAGGAGAAATAAAGGAAGTATGTAAGTCAACCTTGTTTATAATGGTTCTAGAAAGTGGGATGGTGGGTGATTTCTAATTTTGTATTTTAGTTTGTCTATATTCTCTAAATTTTTATAAAAACAAGTTTTTCTTTTGTAAAATGGGGAAACAATTATTTTTAAGTTTCCATACTCCTGAATCAAAGCAACCCAGCTTCTGCCATGAGCCCCACATTAGGAAAAACTCTATGAAAAAGTAAGATTCATTTAGTAATCCAGTAATATATCTGTACATCAACATTAACACTAACCAACTAATCACACCTCTCCTGTGTGACTTTAAGCAAAGTGCCCTTGCTTAAACCCGCCCTGTGTTTTGTATCTTTATTACTTCA